TGGAGATTAAGGGTGCTGTGCTCCTACATGGCCAACTGGTTTGAGTCCCGGACCCGGTGGCTTGTTTTCTCGCTTTCCTTCTTTCTTACTCCATCCCTCTCTGGTCAAATTAAATAAAATAAATAAAATGATGTTAAATAATTCTTAAAAAAAAAAAAAAAAAAAAAATTGTAGTGTGGACACCCTGGATCCAGAGAAGCTGGGACTTGGGTGGGGTGCGGCTGTGGAGAAAGGAGGGTGGCATGATGGGATCTTGCAGAGCTGCATCTCTCACTCACGTCTATGCACACACGCTCCCTGTCCGAAGGAAAAACCGTGACGGTGGTATGAGGACTCCTGGAACGCTCCACTGTACTGTTTTAAGGGGGCTGCCTGTCCTGGCGAGAAGGTATTCCTGTATGTTTTTAAATCTCAGCGTCGGCCTGGCAATGCTCCCGTTTTTGCCGGGACCGCCAGGAAGCTGAGCGCGAGCTGCTCGGTCTGCACCGTCGGTCCTGGAGGCCGCCGGCTCTGACACAGGCGCTCTCATCCCACCCAGGGCCCGCCCAGCTGGCTGCCCCGGTCAGTACTGCTGGCTGCCTGGGGACTTAGTTGCAGGAGGTTGGGAATGTGTAATAAATAAACCCAAGATGTCATTAAGCACAGGACTTTGGAACCAGACAGACCTGGATTCAAATCCCACCTCCCCAAGTTGGGGGACCTTGGGCAGTCACATGGCCTCCCACACCCTCCACAGATGCGGACGGTAGGAGCTGCTTCCTGACGAGGATGAGCTAAGGCAGAAGCCCGTGAAGCCTGAGCAGAGCCTGGCAGGGGCACGTCCTCAGCGTCCGTTGTGCCTGTCGACACAGGGTCGTCATTCCAGCGAGGCAGGAGGCACTCGGGCTGCTCTGGACACCCCAACGCCAGGTGCAGTCCTGAGTCCAGGACCCACAAGTGATGACGTGGGGTGACGAGACTGCCGTCACTAGTTCTGTTTTGCTTGCTGGGAGTGGGGAGAAAGCGAGGCAGCACCCTAACCCGGGGGGATGGCCACGCTCCGGTCCCTCCTCCATGCTCCTCTTGGGATTTTGGTCATGTATACACACGTGCCTGGAGTGTTTTTCCAGGTCACCGGGACCAGGTGTCAAACCGCACAGCTAGAGATATGGGATCCAGCCCCTTCCGCTCCATGCCACCTGTCTGTCTTATTCACACTTTCTCAAGACGTAAGGCGGCGACCTGCACCTGAGTGGTGTGTGTGAATGAGTGGGATGGGTGGGCAGTATCGTAGGCCAGGGCACCACCTGCCGTGGTGGGTACCAGGCCGCAGAGGGGCCACTGAGCCCGAGGTCCTTCCTGCTGTGGCTTTGGGACACAAGCATGTTCTTCCATCCTCACAGTAACCCAGCAGTGGGCGGCCTCCCACTTTACGGATAAGAAAACTGAGCCACAGAGACACAAAGCCAGTTGTCCAAAGCTACCCAGTTAATGAAGGCTGAAGCCCCCAGGCCAACAGGAAGCCCTTACCTCCCTGCCCAACCCACCTGCACCCTGGGCCCCGAGCCCAGTTCTTCCCGGAGAAATGAGCTTCTTTCAGTCTCCTTACCACAAAGACTCAGCCCTGTCCTCAGAAATATTTGGAAAGTTTTATTTAAATGTCTCGTGTTCCCTTTAAACCAACACCAAAAAAAGAGAAAGTTCTTTTTGCTGCTCCAAACAGCAGAGTCACTTCAGAGAGGAGCTGGCATGTGTGGAGCCGGGGAGCGGATCCCGACAGACTGTCCTCCGGCCCCAGCCCCACGGAGCTGGAGGCCTGTCCCTGGAGCTGCTTGCTGGGCACCTGGGTGGCCTTGGAGTGAGAAAAGGGACCTGGTCTCCCTTGCAGGGATCTAGGCTTGGGGACCAGGACACGGGCATGGAAGGGCCTGGTGAACTCCAGGGGAAGGAGATGGGAGTGGGTCAGACTCTCAATGTTCTTGGAGGCTGCGGAGCCTCTGGGTCTGGAGTATGTTTGCTAGAAAAATAAGACGCTTTGAGATTCCTGCAGTCTGTGCTCTCTGCCTGTCCAAAAGAGACCTACCCTGTTGGCCAAAGGGCAAGGGGAGGGAGCATAGGCCGGAGGCCAGGAACCGGTCTGGTCCTTGTGGTGGAGTCCAGGGAGGAGCAGGCAGGCGGCGGGCTTTGGTTTCCTGGGTCCCCTTCCCAGCCTCGGCCTCCCTGGCCCTTGAGGTGTGGGCTGCCGGACAGCGGGCAGCCCCGGGAGTGCAAGGCCAGCCACTGGTCGTGGACTTGTGGGTACCCGGGGGCGGGGACCCCC